TACGTCCTCAAAGGTCGTTTTGAACCACAGATAAATCCGGTGACCTTTTCAAAATTGTGATGCATGCGATTAGAATTTGCCGAAGTATGCTAAAGCGGTTAGACACCCGTCATTGGCGTATGGTTCTTATCGTTCTAACACTCTTTGTCATCCTGTTTTTCTATACCAATGTTCTTCCGTCAACTGAAACTCTGGTTTCGAAAAACATGATTGCCGAGGACGTTTCGTCCTACACTACATTGCCACAAAGAAGGAGTTTGCTTATTGTCGGCAAAGGGCGTTCGGGGACAAGTTTTGTGTGGAAGATGTTGGCGATTGGAGAACGGGTGAGTAAAAATAATGTCTAATGAGCACCCAAAAGGTTTTGCAAATTGTATCTTAGTCTAACATAACAGTGCAGAGACCAACTTGAAAGATGATAGTTATAAAAAGAAGCTCAGAATGGTTATGTGAAAAAACAATATATATATATATATATATATATATAATTTAAAAAAAAGAATGGTTACTTGTCACCAAACGTGATTCTTGAATTCCCCGCACCCATAAAACTGACAACCAGAAATGCGGTGCGGGATAAGCAGACAATTCTTAGCCCATTTATTGAACTAACCAACTAATCACAAAACAAAAACAACTGGTTACGCTGTTTAGACACCAAAAAATCAAACAAACTGTACACATTTGATCCGGCCAAAGTCAATGAATAAACAAAACCACTAATAATAACTGTCAATCATCTGGAAAACACAACTAAAATCGTTACGAGGAAATGGATTACAGGATTTCAATCACTATATAAAAAAGAACAAAATTTAACTGTCCGCTTGTAAAAATCCACAATGAAACTTGTTTACTGTTCAGCGAATATATACTTGCTACTTTACATATCACACTTAATTTCTTCTCATAATCTCATGCCGGCACTTAAAACACACTGCCGACAAATGCACCTGTCCTTGGGAATTCAAGCCAGGCAAAGAAAAATGAACAAACCATTTCAGAAAACCATGGCTGTACGACTGAGATTGTGTGATATCTGTTTTTAAGCAGAGAAAGTAGGAAAAAATAAATTCCAATTAAACTTTTTAGGCTTTGCTCCAACTAATTTCCGCACATTTAGCACATGTATGATTTTATTTTTGGTTGCTAAAATTCCTCCCAACCGTCTACCGACCCCTCTTGTTATACTATGAATGTTTTTTAACGTGTAGGCCCCGTTTTACGTAGTGCAAAGCAAGACAAGCACTTACAAGAACCAAAATCAGAGGAGAAACTTTCACATCGCGGTACTAACAAAGAAAGTATCCACTCCAATTTCAGAGGGAGTCAGTGTACGGAATCTTTGTGCGCACTTATTTACTAAACTCCTTCAACTCTTTTACAAAAGAACGTGCTAAAATTTTCACAAAATGCGTGAAATTAAAAATGCCAGATTTAGTTCATTTTTTAGTAAATAGAAAATATTACATGGCCGCACGGGGATACGAATTTTATCTTCGAGTGCTGAAAGTATCTCTCACGGGTGAGCGAAACGAACGAGTGAGATATCCTTTCAGCACGAGACGATAAAATTCGTATCCCGAATCGGCCATGTAATGTTCTGTTTATAGATACCGGTGAAATTCCTAAATAAAACCCAACTATTTTTTAATTTATTTTCGAAACAGCAAAATAGCGCAATTAAAGTGGTCACCTATCGCAAAATGTCTGTCAGAAAAAACCAAAAGTCAAAACTCTAATGAAGAAGAGAAAAATTCCATGGCGACACCAATATCCTTACACGTGAAAGGCAAAAATAGTATCTTCACTGCGCGCGATGAAGATATGATTTTTTCTTAAGAGGAAAAATCCTAGTATTTTATCAGTATCTATATAATAATTTCATTTTTTTAGCTTCATCAGGTAATGATAAGCCTATGCTAAAGAGGCAAAAGTTGTAAACAAGGATTGGCCTATAGCGTGAAGACTTTTTTCTTTAACTCAACAGCACTTTTAAAAAAGTGCTTATGAGTTGTGCGTGTTTCTACTGTATGGCCGAAAAGTGGGGGTGGGGGCTGGGAGACGAGGGGGGAGGGAGAGGGATGATTTCCGTATGCCTGGTCTGTGACGGGGACATTAGTCTGAAAATTAGAATTAAACCACCGAAGAATTATTTAAGCGTGGAATTAAACAAACAATCACATAAGAGCTACAGTGGTTTTTATTGTACCAAAAAGATGTTGACATTGAATGCAATCTCCAATTCGGGCGCAACTTGAGAAACGAGGAAAAACCTGGACCGAGTTTACTTTCGCAAGGACGGTTACCAGGGACAGGGAAAAAATTTGGCCAATAGCTGACCAGCGCGTACACAGTGACGATCCCAGAGGCAATTGCGGGACGCATTTTGGCTCAGGTTCCCAGTTTCCTTCTCGTCGCTAAAGCTACAAGCAAACGGACGCAACAACTCCCAACAATGTTGGGATTAATTTAGGTTCTTCGGAAACTCCCACCTACCCCTCCCCTATCATTTTGCCCTTAGTGAGAAGTAAGTGTTAATGTTGACTTAGGGGAGGGGTAGGTGGGCAGTTTCTCCAGAAACCTAAATTGATCCCAATGTTGGCACCTGCAGTGAATCGTGGGAAGGATACAACCCAAAAGACTTTGCACACTCCAAGCCAAAGACTGGAGACCATGTCACGTGATGCGCGTGCGTGGCCTCAAGAATGTTGGAAGAGCTGTGCAAACGGATCCTTCGACGATCACGGAAAAAGAGAATTGTTGGGAGCCGTTGGTTTAAAAGTTTGACCGGTTTCAAACTTTGTGCAACAACACTCAACAACATGCAACAGGATGTGCAAACGGACGCTACATGTATCATTCAACAATGTCGGGAGTTGTTGGCCAACAATGTTGCGTCCTTTTGTACGGCGCTAAAAGTGATGAATGTGGTGAAATGAAAATTGACTCATGTACAAAGTGGCGAGTTTTGGTTAATACAACGAAGGTTTTCTTTTTCGTTTTCTACAGGTTTTCGAGGTTTTTGAGCCTTTGCGATTTCACAATCTTTCGGACGCCCAAAAAATGGAGGTTTTACAAGCATTTCTTACCTTGAAGTTTACACCAAGCGCCTTATGGGAAAAGGATTATTATCCTCCATTTTGGCATTTGGAAGAGACAAGCTATCATATCGAACGCCTTAAAAACAAGGCGTGTATCATATTCAAGACAAAACCAACAAGGTGCTTTCCAGCAGATGCTTTGGCTGAATATTTTATCAAAAAGAGCAAACAGAAGTATAACTGCACAGTCGTTAAAGCACTTTCTGAAAGATTACCAGATGGCAGATTGTTGAGTCTTCTCCCACTGATCTCCGACCTGGCATTGGTTGCTGATATTCGGATATTGCATGTTGTTCGCGACCCAAGAGCGAGTTTAAATTCCAGAATTAAACTGAGGTGGTTTCCCGAGTTCAATGATCCAAACTTTGAGGAAAATGTTCGAAATTTTTGTAAACCCATCACTGACAACATCAAGTTTGGCAAAACACTGGTTGAGGTTCTTAAACACAGATACAAACTTATTTTGTATCGAGACATCGCAGCTCGACCGCTTGACACAGCAAGAGAAATCTTCAAGTTCGCCGGTTTGAATCTTTCTCAGAACACTTTAGAGTGGATTAAAAACATGACAAATCCTGGCAAAACGGATACAAAGAAGTTTAAGAGTCGGCCATATTCCCTTATAAGAGATGCTGAAGCGAATATCGAAAAATGGCGCAGCGAATCTCCTCCTGAAAGGACATTAATTATAGAAAAAAACTGCCAACCTTTGCTTAAACTGTTAGACAAGATAAGCTTTGATCGGGAATATTCATTAGATAAGGAATGAATTCTAGTCGAATAGCTCTTGATTTTATAGTAATAGTCACAATTTTGAATGACATTGTTATTTTGTAAGTGGTATCAATAATTCGGAAATAATGCGGCGTTAAACCACGACGCCAACCGAAAAATACCACAATATGAACGTTAAGATTGCAACAGGTTATCTGTATACTAGAAGTGGTCGGAGCTTAGGAGAGAGCGTTCAATATGTTTGCTAGGCGTACAGGTACCAGTGGAAGGGAAAGGGTGAATGGATCTTGCGATTTCGAACGTAAGGGTTGCGTACAGTGAAACCTCGATTTAAACTGTGTATCATAATGAAAAGGTTTTGAAGGCTAGAGATTAGCGTGATATTGTATGGTTCATCTCAAGCACTTGTTATTTGAGGAGACACTAGCTGGCCAGAGTGCTTCGGGCGTGTAAAAAGAAGTTTTTGTTTTACTGGCGCAATAGATGTTCTACTGCAGGGAGCAGTTGTTCGTAGGCCGATTAGCGCTTAACCCAGGTCTATTTTTCTTTTGTTAAAAAGCATTTCTTTGGATAATTTTGTCAGTTATTTTTAAGAGCGTCGAATCATTAACTTGTTGGCAAAATGAAGCCGGGTCGCGAGTTCGATTCTCCTCCTTCCGAGTTGAAAATGTTCACTGGAAGTGTATGTGTGCTGCTTACTAGTGTATCATTAAAATTAATAAAAATAAAAATGAAATTAATTTACGCAACCACGAGTTCGTGAGAAAAAAACAAAAGGGCGTGTAAAAGGTAAGTGACGCCGACTGATTTTCTTTTTCTTTTTATGATTCGAGTTGATCCGAGTCCAATTTTATTTTACTTTTATTTGTTTATTCAACCCGAGTCGATCCGAGTTGATCCGACCCGGACTGGCTGTCCAGACTTTTGTACCTGCCTAGCTAAAATGTTCGTTTGTCCAGTGCCGAAAATATCACACGTCATGATGATATAGTGCCGCCGAGCTTCACATCTGGAATAACGGCCGCGGCCGAGCTTTACATCTCCGTAGATTTAAATACTTTGTGGCACAACAGACGCTGAGCTTGACAAATCGACAGTAAATTTACTTTGTGCCTACACAATTCGGTAGATTTACTCTGTGACACTACGGCCGCCTAGCTACACAGCTCAGTAGATTTACTTTGTGGCACAACGGACGCCCAGCTAAACAACCCGGTTTGCTGCATGCACCAGGAGTAGCACGTATTTTCTAAAGAAAAATATGAAGGCTTCAGGGATCCAAAGTAAAATTTTAGTCAGGGTGTAAACTTTGAGCACAGTTTTGAAAGATGAACGCTTTGGGGGATTCATTAAACACAGATCGATAGTAGACCTTCAGCAAACTCTTGAATATGTACGCTTTACGAAAACAGAATAGAATTTACGAAGACAGAATAACAGACCTCAGCAAACGTTTGAAAGATGAACGCCGAGGACACACGAATCACCAAGTGAGTTAGCGCGTCAAAGTGAGGCAAAACGTAAGCAAGCGCCTCAAAGCGAGGCAAATGTGTGTCGACGACGACGACGACGACGACGTCGAAGATGCAAACTCGAAAAACCTCCCTTATTAATTGCACAGGACACCTAACAATGCACAGAACACCCAACACAAATTAGCGGTTGCGTTCGAGGTACGAGAAGGCAAATACTTAAAATCCAACTAGTGGTCTACTATCAATGCTGCGTTCTTATTGGTTGGGCTACTACTAGGCTATATGTTATAGCCCACTAGCAGGCCTGGCCCACTAGTAGCGAAAAGCGCCGGCTTTGAAAACCAAAACAATGGCGGCTGAATCGCTTTTTGTTAGCATAAGTTGTTTTGTCTGGATATTTTTGACAAACAAGTTGAATGTTTGCGAAACCAATTATTCCTCTCTCTCTCTCATGGCCTCTGAGTCAATAACCCCATTAGGGCTTCGGCCTCATGGGCTTTTGACTCAGAGCCCATTCGGGCTCGATGAATAATAATTGTTAAATAAACATGTTGTGCGTTTTTCTTACCAATTAATAAAAGTTAAAGAAAATCCGTGATACTTCTTGCAGAGCAATGCAAGGTGGCATATTGTCTAAAACCTGGTATAAACAATCAAACTCATCAGCATGTTTGACCGTAACACCATCTCTTTCATTCAGCTTCATATAGGCTCGTGTCCAGTGTTTGATCCAACACCTTTATCGTATAAGCAAGCGATCAAGCCATCATTTCAGCGGTATTGCACACAATTCATGTCGACTCATTCTGTTTGAATTGTATCAAACATTGTTTGCTTGTTAAACCGCTCCATGCTGTGTGTAATAACCGTGATGTTGGACGAGAATGTTTGATCGTTTAACCTCACCGGACGGACCGAAGCTTAACCTTCCGCAGGAGCCGATTACAGTAATCAGCCCCAGCATCCCTTTAGCAGACTTTCCCGGGGACCCTCCCTTGGAAAGGCTGGGTTTCCGACGTGCTTTTGGTCTGAAATTAGGTAGAGAGTCAGGTGATGAACTGGTTTGGTAAACAGGGTATGGTGTTTTTCCGAGGGGGTATTCCCATATTAAAGTGACGGAGATGCTCGTCGTCTCGCTTACGGATAGAAATTGCCGATTTTGGTCTCACTCAGGGTGTTCTGGACAGAAAGCCATTATCCTTGTCCATAGAGTGTCACTTACGGTTGTGCGTCGAAAAATATCCGCAAGAGGCAAATGCAGTCATGCTTTGTTGGAGTATGGCCTTCTTTATGGTTCAAATAAAACCTAAGCCACGGCCCGATTGTTCTCTTTTAGGGTTAATTCTAGTTCTCCGACCGGCATCCCCGACACTTTTATATGGGAGGGTCGTGTATTCTGGAAACAATTCCTCTCTTGAAAACAGCGGCTCACCTTTAAAAAAGTATCTGGGTCTGAAATAAGGTGAGGCTTTATGAAAGTTTGCGTGCTCTCTCCTCCCACCCCACCCCCTGCTCTTGCACACCCTAATCCGACTGCTCCAGGAGTACACCGCTCGGAAGGTACACCCTCGTGATTAGGGGTGGGCTGCAAGGGATAGGTGTCTGCTCACTGATCATTAGGTAGCTTAAGCAACAAAGTATTTTAGACATGCACTTGAACCGGAAGTGGCCTTTTTGCAATCTTGGGGCGTGGTTTGACCAAATATTCAGGCAAATCGTCCCTATGACAGAAAAAACACTTAAGAATACAAAATTGGTAGGGTCAAGGCATATTAAAAGGGAACATGCTTCACTTGCGGTTGACGTGCGTCACTATTACCTCCTCCTCAGGCTCATTGTGACTGGTGACGAAGCGCAAGGGACCATGGGAAGGGGAAAAATGAGAGGCGCAACGCGTCTCGCCCGTTTTCTCCTTTCCGCCTTCCTTTGCGCGCAAATTTTATCGAGAGAGAGACGGCTTGGTAAGAGGCAGAATCTGGTAGATTTCGTTTTCCGCTCCTGTTTGAAAAATCCACCAAAGTCAGCTATTAGAAAAAAAAATCTCTTCTCTACGTTTGGAGGGAAATATTTAACGCTTCAAGTACATTTCCCTTAGCGAAGTGATTAGTCCATTTAGGGTGACAAGGTCAGTATTGAACTGAAATCTGGTCAAAACCACTTGTCCACCTTTCACTTACTAGGAGTGTCAGCCCGTATACTTTTTTTGAATAAAGCGAGTTTAAATCATGAGTAACAAAATTGGTGTGAGAGTGCCTAGCTTCCAAAGTTGATATAAAAAAGCGTACTAAAGCAATTAAATAAGACCTAGTTATTAATCAAAATATATTATATTTTTGGCCATTAAAATATGAATTCTTTTAGCTGTGACTCCCTTGCCATAGTTTCTTTCACGTTCTGTGTTACATTAACTTTATTGGCGATGAATTTTAACACATATTTCCTGTATATTGAACTTTTTATTCCTGTATATTGAACTTTAGTGTTTCTTTGTCAACTCTTTTATCGTTTAGTACTAGCTGTACTTGGTCCTCAAAGGTCGTTTTGAACCACAGACAAATCCGGTGACCTTTTCAAAATTGTGATACATGCGATTAGAATTTGCCGAAGTATGCTAAACAGGTTAGACACTCGTCATTGCTTTGTGGTTCTTATCGTTCTAACACTCTTTGTCATCCTGTTTTTCTATACCAATGTTCTTCCGTCGACTGAAACTCTGGTTTCGAAAAACATGATTGCCGAGGACGTTTCGTCCTACACTACATTGCCACAAAGAAGGAGTTTGCTTATTGTCGGCAAAGGGCGTTCGGGGACAAGTTTTGTGTGGAAGATGTTGGCGATTGGAGAACGGGTGAGTAAAAATAATGTCTAATGAGCACCCAAAAGGTTTTGCAAATTGTATCTTAGTCTAACATAACAGTGCAGAGACCAACTTGAAAGATGATAGTTATGAAAAGAAGCTCAGAATGGTTATGTGAAAAAACAATATATATATATATATATATATATAATTTAAAAAAAAGAATGGTTACTTGTCACCAAACGTGATTCTTGAATTCCCCGCACCCAAAAAACTGACAACCAGAAATGCGGTGCGGGATAAGCAGACAATTCTTAGCCCATTTATTGAACTAACCAACTAATCACAAAACAAAAACAACTGGTTACGCTGTTTAGACACCAAAAATCAAACAAACTGTGTACACATTTGATCCGGCCAAAGTCAATGAATAAACAAAACCACTAATAATAACTGTCAATCATCTGGAAAACACAACTAAAATCGTTAAAATCGTTAGGAAATGGATTACAGGATTTCAATCACTATATAAAAAAGAACAAAATTTAACTGTCCGCTTGTAAAAATCCACAATGAAACTTGTTTACTGTTCAGCGAATATATACTTGCTACTTTTATCATACATATTAATTTTCTTCTCATAATCTCATGCCGGCACTTAAAACACACTGCCGACAAACAGTTTGTTCTCTTTATTTTAACGTATTTTTTTCAGCCATTTGAATAACAAAATGGTTACGTGTCACCAAACGATTGATTCTTGCAAAATTCCTTAGACCTGCTTGGGGATAATCCTTTCAAAGACCGAAAAACTGACAACCAGAAATGCGGTGCTGTGGGATAAGCAGACAACCTTTTCTTAGCCCATTTATTGAACTAACCAACTAATCACAAAACAAAAACAACTGGTTACGCTGTTTAGAACCTAAAAAAATCAAACAAACTGTATGTTCTTGAATTGATCCGGCCAAAGTCAATGAATAAACAAAACCTGGTTACGCTGTAATTTTAGACAAAAAAAATAATAACTGTCAATCATCTGGTAAAAAACACAACTAAAATCGTTACGAGGAAATGGATTACAGAACACAAACCATTTCAATCACTATATCCAAAAAAAAGAACTAAAATTCCTCCCAAACCAAACCCCTCTTTTAACTGTCCGTTTTACGTAGTGCAAAGCAAGACAAGCACTTGTAAGAAAGAAAAATCCACAGAGGAATGAAACTTGTTTACTGTTCAGCGAATATATATCTTCTGAAAGTATCTCACGGGTGAGCAGAAACGAACGGTGAGATATCCTTCAGCACGAGACGATAAATATCATACTGTTTTAATTTCTTCTATTTTTAATTTATTTTCAGCGCAATTAAATCTCGCAAAATGTCTGTGCCGGCACTTGAAGGCAAAAAACACACTGCCGACAAATGCAAATTAAACAAACAATCACAGAAGAGCTACAGTGGTTTTTATTGTACCAAAAAGATGTTGACATTGAATGCAATCTCCAATTCGGGCGAAACTTGAGAAACGAGGAAAAACCTGGACCGAGTTTACTTTCGCAAGGACGGTTACCAGGGACAGGGAAAAAATTTGCCCAATAGCTGACCAGCGCGTACACAGTGACGATCCCAGAGGCAATTGCGGGACGCATTTTGGCTCAGGTTCCCAGTTTCCTTCTCGTCGCTAAAGCTACAAGCAAACGGACGCAACAACTCCCAACAATGTTGGGATTAATTTAGGTTCTTGGGAAACTCCCACCTACCCCTCCCCTATCATTTTGCCCTAAGTGAGAAGTAAGTGTTAATGTTGACTTAGGGGAGGGGTAGGTGGGCAATTTCTCCAGAAACCTAAATTGATCCCAATGTTGGCACCTGCAGTGCATCGTGGGAAGGATACAACCCAAAACACTTTGCACACTCCAAGCCAAAGACTGGAGACCATGTCACGTGATGCGCGTGCGTGGCCCTCAAGAATGTTGGAAGAGCTGTGCAAACGGATCCTTCGACGATCACGGTAAAAAAGAATTGTTGGGAGCCGTTGGTTTAAAAGTTTGACCGGTTTCAAACTTTGTGTAACAACACGCAACAACATGCAACAGGATGTGCAAACGGACGCTACATGTATCATTCAACGATGTCGGGAGTTGTTGGCCAACAATGTTGCGTCCTTTTGTACGGCGCTAAAAGTGAAGAATGTGGTGAAATAAAAATTGACTCATGTACAAAGTGGCGATTTTTAGTTAATACAACGAAGGGTTTTTTTTTGTTTTCTACAGGTTTTCGAGGTTTATGAGCCTTTGCGATTTCACAATCTTTCGGACGCCCAAAAAATGGAGGTTTTACAAGCATTTCTCACCTTGAAGTTTACACAAAGCGCCTTATGAGAAAAGGATTATTATCCTCCATTTTGGTATTTAAAAGAGACAAGCTATCATATCGAACGCCTTAAAAACAAGGCGTGTATCATATTCAAGACAAAACCAACAAGGTGCTTTCCAGCAGATGCTTTGGCTGATTATTTTATCAAAAAGAGCAAACAGAAGTATGACAGCACAGTCGTTAAAGAACTTACTAACCGATTACCAGATGGCAGATTGTTAAGTCTTCTCCCACTGATCTCCGATCTAGCATTGGATGCTGATATTCGGATATTGCATGTTGTTCGCGACCCAAGAGCGAGTATAAATTCCAGAATTAAACTGAGGTGGTTTCCCGAGTTCAATGATCCAAACTTTGAGGAAAAAGTTCGATATTATTGTAAAGCCATCATTGACAACATCGAGTTTGGCGAAACACTGGATGAGACTCTTAAACACAGATACAAACTTATTTTGTATCGAGAGATCGCAGCTCGACCGCTTGACACAGCAAGAGAAATCTTCAAGTTCGCCGGCTTGAATCTTTCTGAGAACACTTTAGAGTGGATTAAAAACATGACAAATCCTGGCGAAACGGATGAAAAGGAGTTTAAAAGACCTTATTCCCTTGTGAGAGATGCTGAAGCGAATATCGAAAAATGGCGCAGCGAATCTCCTCCTGAAAGGACATTAATTATAGAAAAACACTGCCAGCCTTTGCTTAAACTGTTAGACAAGATAAGCTTTGATCGGGAATATTTATTAGATAAGGAGTCAATTCTAGTCGAATAGCTTTTGGTTTTATAGTAATAGTCACAATTTTGAATGACATTGTTATGATGTGAGTGGAATCAATGAATGCAGCGTTAAACCACGACACCAACCAAAATACTACAATACGAACGTTAAGATTGAAACAGGATATCGGCATATTGCTCTTTTAATTAGTAAAATCCAACTAGTAGTCTATTATCAATGCTGCGTTCTGATTGGATGAGCTACTACTAGCCTATATGTTATAGCCCACTGAGTAATGAAAAGCGCCGGTTTTGAAAACCAAAATAATGGCGGCTGAATCGCCTTTTGTTAGCTTAAGTTGTTTTCTCTCGATATTTTGATCAGCTAGTTGGATTTTACTAAAACTTTTATTCCTGTCGCCCTCATGGCCTCTGAGTCAATAGCCCATGAGACCTTCGGCAAAGCCCATTTGGGCTCGAGGATACCCTAGGTGACAGAGGCATTTCATGCGCGGTTTCCGGTTTCGGTTTTTTCTCGCGGCTTCGCCGCTCGTGTCTTCGGCCTGCGGGCGACGAAACGAGGCTCCCCGACGTACGCGAGAAAAAACCTCTGGTACCCAGGGTAGCTCGAGGAATGACCGGGTAAATAAACATTTTGAGCGTTTTTCGTACCAAAGTTAAAGAAAATCCGTGACACTTCTTGCAGAACAATTGCAAGGTGGCATATTGTTTAAAGCCTGGGCTAAACAATCAAACTCATGAGCATGTTTGACCGTTACATCATCTCTTTCATTCAACTTTATAGAGGCTCGTGTCCAGTGTTTGATCCAGCATTTTTTTCGTAATAGCTACCTCCACTGGCAAAGCAAACGTAGCGTCGGAAAAAGCAATCGATCAAGCCATCATTTCAGCGGCATTACACAATTCATCAGAGTGGACTTATTCTGCTTGAATTTGGTCAAACATTGTTTGCTTGTCAAGCCGCTTCATGTTGTGTGTAATAACCATGATGTTGGACGAGAATGTTTGATCGTTAGCCTTAGCGGAGGGGAAGCTTAACCTTCCGCAGGAGCTGATTACGGTAATCAGCCGCAGCATTTTCGTCCGTGCACATGAAAACGATCAGCCGGCGTTTTAAAAAAACTCCACTCCGGGGACCTTTTTCTATTGGATGTTGTTAAACAATAAACGCTAACCAAGTCTTCTTTAAATCAGTTATTATTTAACCATTTAGTTAACGAGGCAATCAGCGGGAAGGTTTCTGACTGGCACGTATGAATCTTGCTACGCATTTTTACCGTTCAAAAACTGGGGGATTTTAATTTTCTTCGAGGGCTAGCACCGGGCCTTTTGGATGGATTATCGATCGGAAGATACGAGAAAAAGAGTGAATCTTTGGACCTTTTTGCTGCGAAGTTTAAAAGTGGAGCAATGTGATTTTCTGGGGGGAAATCGTTCCAACGTTGGATCCTTATTACGAACAGTAAATGGCGAACTCAAAATCCTTCAAAATCGCTCAAAAAATCGCTTTTGACGCAAACGGATGACTATATACCACAGTTAAGGTAATTCAATGTTTATGTAACATTATAGGCAAACCGTAAATCCACTGCATTTACTATAAAATGACAATCGGTTACACACATACATTGTGTGGGCGCCCTGTGGTCCCGGGGAGGGTACTTCCATACATTACCTACACGGGTATGTGCCGCCCAAAGGAGTCGTGATTTTGAAGCTCCTGATTTAGAACGGGTTATCCATTTTAGAAGCGTTTTCTAGAACGGGGTATAATATTTCGAACGCAAGAAAGCTCCAGTTTTGTAAGCAGCTATTTGAAATTATTCAAGGACAGATTGCTTTTAAAAATACGGTTCAATGCGCGCGTTAACAAGCAAACTGTTGTACTCTTGATGTGAAGTATATGAAATAATTCATTTTTGAACTGCGGTTGTAGATGAAAGTGAAGAATGATCATCGCAGTAAGTTTTCCAATTTAAGCAATTGGAAAGAGGAAGCCTGAAAAAAATTAGGGCTTACAACCGCAGTTCAAAAACTAATTATTTCATATACTTCACATCATTTCACTCCTCACGGGAGATATGAAGTCAATTGACCTCGCTCCCAATGTGTGGCTTCATAGCTCAGTTGGTAGAGCAACGCACCGGCAACGCGGAGGTCACGGGTTCGAATCCCGTTGAAGCCCTGATTTTTTTTCAGGCTTCTTCTTTCCAGTTACTTAAATTGGAAAATTTACTGCGATGATCATTCTTCACTTTTATCTGTTGTTCTCTTGTTGCACCCTGAACGGAGTATAAAAAATTGGCCCATTTCTAGAACGGGGTATCAGTTCTAGGGCGAATTCTAGAACGGGGTATCAAAAAAATTGGCCCATTTCTAGAACGGGGTATCAATTTTAGGGGAATTTTTTTTTTAGAACGGGTTGCCAATTTGGAGGCCCGGGCGGAACATACACACCCAAAAACTGGCACCCAAGTCCCCCGCCCCCCTGGCCTGTGGTTTTACAAAATCCCCACCTTTGGTGTTAAAATACTGCTGTTCAAAGAAATGAGTCGATTGCTGGACTCTTGTGCAGATGTCTATTGTTTTCTCGGTAAATTTTGGAGAGTTTCAATAGCTTTATCGAGTTAATATTTTTTCCCATAAACACCTCAAACGTGGGGATTTTGTGCAACTCGGTAAGCTCTTTCTGAATAGATGGCTCTTGTGTTGATAATCCTACAACACACAGACTCGCAACCAGTCTCCCTCGCTTTGAAACCAGTAAATAGGACGAAAAGATGGACGAGGGAACGAGGTTGATTAGATTAATATAGAACCGCCCAGTTTTTGACGAGGTGGATTGCGGTATGGAATGGATGAAGATCAGAGACAAATATGATTGTGCTTCGTCTTGTCCCTAGAGATCAGTGGTCGACCTTTCTCAATACTTGTGCCTGCTTTGAAACCATGGCGACAGAGGCTACTCAATATCAATCTTAATTAGTATTTTATTTGTTCAGGTGTTTTCGACGAAAATAAAGCTAACAAATTAGCGCAAGCACAAAAATAATTTGCAGACAATTTTCTAGGTGATTTTTTCTTGATGAGTTTGTTCTCTTTATTTTAACGTATTTTTCAGCCATTTGAATAACAAATTTTTCTCGAACTAATTTGCTTTTAACTTAACAATACGTTAATATTGGTCGAATTTATACTAGAAACGAAACGAAAAGTTTCACATGAGAGGGACTGGTTTCTATATTTTCGTAATGTTTCCTTTTTCTCGCTTTCGATTCCCGCTTAAAATATCTAGACAAATTATGGAGCAAAATTCGTCTTCGGATTTACACTTAGACGAATTATCTGTCTTAGGGATAATCCTTTTAGACCGACAAAACGTCTCAAGTATAAATTCGGCCATTAAAATATGAATTCTTTTAGCTGTGACTCCCTCGCCATAGTTTCTTTGACGGTTCTGTGTTACATTAACTTTAATGGAGATGAATTTTAAAACATATTTCCTGCATATTGAACTTCGAAAGTAATTTTAGTGTTTCTGTGTCAACTCTTTTATCGTTTAGTACTAGCTGTACTACGTCCTCAAAGGTCGTTCTGAACCACAGATAAATCCGGTGACCTTTTCAAAATTGTGATGCATGCGATTAGAATTTGCCGAAGTATGCTAAAGCGGTTAGACACCCGTCATTGGCGTATGGTTCTTATCGTTCTAACACTCTTTGTCATCCTGTTTTTCTATACCAATGTTCTTCCGTCGACTGAAACTCTGGTT